GTTAAAATGATCAAATAATTTAGAAGAAGCACTAAAATACAACCAAAACAGGTGTTTCTACCCTTCCTGTTTTAATATGCAATTCTTCTTAACAAAGAAAAATGTAAGAAACACTTAAATCTAACAAATATAAATGTTTACTACTCACTCCAGTGTAGCATATTGTATGTATGAATAAAGTGCTTTAATTTGAAGCCATTGATTTACTAGACATGTAAACTGAAAACTGAAATGACCTTCAATCAAAACATTTCGGTAACACTTTATGGTAAGGGCACAGGCATGGGGGCTTTGTGTTTCATTGTTCTTGGCTCATGATTCATGTGATCATGAGAAAAAAGTGCGCTGAACAGATTAAACAGATTAATCATAAAACCGCAGATTATGCAACTTCCCTTTGATAACATTTTTCTTTCAATTCACATGTAATACATTGTTTTCTTGATGCATATCGCCTTGTCTTAGCTTTTATCTGGTTGCACAGTCTTTTATCAGTAAAACTCCTGCTGGCAGTGTTTCATCAGCAATCTCCACATGCTCATATCTTTCAATGTGAGGGAAACTGAGGACTATTTGTTTTAGGTCGGTGTATTTTCTTATAGGTTTGAGTTACATGAAAAAAAGTTTGCATCGTGATACTGTCGGTGTCATGACCGGAGCTACAGCTTCCAGAACAGCTTTGATTCGTCTTGCCTGACCGTTACATCATCCTTCAGACATGTGTTTTAGCAAAATAACCTCATCAAGGGGTCAATACTTTTGCACAAAGTTTTGTTAATAAAATGAATTGGCAAAGTGTGGTCAGAGGTTAGGAGATACTGGAAATCCGTATCAAAACATAACATATTTGAATGGTGAGGGCCATGTTTGGACAAGAGTCATCTGCCATACAGTACAGCAGGGGAGCCTTTAATTATTTGAGAAAGGTCTTTGGGAAAGTGCACATTGTGTAAAACAATTATCACATAGATTGTTTTTTTTTAAACAGGTGGCACCAGCACCTTTTATGGAAGTACAGCAGATAATTGATTACATTTTCAGGAAACACAATATTTCTGTGCTTTATAAGGATCATTTTTTCTATTAGACTTTTCTGTAATTGATTTTGATTTTGTAAGTGTATGCTCATTTTAAGACTTTCAATATTCATATTTTAACACATGTCCTATTAGGACAGTGGGACTTGGATACAGAGCTCTGAGTGAGGAAAAGTCATACATAGATTGTTCTTCTAAACACATGCCTTGTGAGATTTTATTTTATTTATTTTTTATGAGAAACAAATAATTGTGATATGTTCCTAATATCCCCATTATTTAAATTATGTTATAGCAAAAATCCAAAATTAATATAGCCTACATATGCATCAATTTGAAACACTGGGTCTGCATCTGCAGCATTGATGTGGACACTTTAATAGCTTTAAAAGGTTATTATCTCTCAGCTAATGATGACAAAAAGAGGGAAATGAATCAGACAGCAAATAAATCCAAGTTCTAATTATTGCTGCACATCTGCCTTGTTTATTACTGTTTCATACGTGAGCAACACACCAGGAGGACACATGAAAGCCATGCATACCCTCAAAACAAACAGAAGGACAAATGTAATCTGACTTCACTAATCTCTTTAAAATGTTAAATATGATGCAGTTGACCTTAATGAATAATGAAATATTAATAAACATGTGTCTCTGGATCCAGAATCTTATCATGTTATCTGCTTTACAGGCGCTCTCGTCTCAGATATAAAACATAAAAATTAACAATAGCAACTCATTATTAACTTTAGTTAAAAGATGAAAAAAAAGAAAAATAGTTTGTGTCTGCATGTTAAGGACAAGTACAGCCATGTTATTTAGTATTGTTCACATTTGATAGTACATTCTTAACCTCAAATATGAAATAAGGATGTGCTGAATTGTCTTTTTTCTACAAATAAGATTTCCCGGTGAGACACATGTTCTTTTTAGAGAAGCAGGTGTTTTGCATTCATGCTCCACCTCAGATGCATCCCCCTTTCCCTTCCAATTTCTGTAATATTTACACATGTCCAATAACCCATGACACAGTTCCTCCTGTCCCTCCACGAAAACACACGCAGCTCTTTTAAAACACTTAAGAGGCTCTCGGCATCGCATAACCGGTGATGTGGATGTCAAGCTTCCTGACTTTTATCCCCTCATCGCGTCTCAACTGATTTGGTTCATCCGTAGTGTTAGCCCACCTTCCTCACACTTGCTCAATACCCAGGTTCAATTTCAGCAAGAAATGTAAACAATTGAGTTACTTTCAAACCAGTGATTTTAAGTTGAGTTTGAGGACTACAAGCAGACAAATGATTTATACTCCAGATTAGAGCTAATTCATTCTCTTCAGATTTGACACGGTTAAGTTTTATAAGAGATAAGCATTACAGAACAAAGGTTTGCAGAGTCCGGCTGGTACAAGATGCATGGATACACTTTAGATTGCTTCTTTTAAACTTCATGTAAATAACCTGCTTAAAAAGCTGAGGGTTAGGCTAGGTTTCTTCTACAGGAACAAGTCCTGTTTCTAGCTTGAGGCCAGGAAAAGGCTAGTTACTGTGACCTTTTTACCTGTGCTGGATGGACTATGGTGATCTGATGTATATGAATGCACCTGCCAATTGCCTGGTCAAGTTAGATGCTGCGTATCACAGTGCTCTAAGATTTGTGACAAATTGTAAAGCATTAACACATCACTGTACCCTGTATGCAAGGGCTGGTTTGCTTTCATTAACTGTACGGAGGCTCAGTCACTGGTACATTTTTATATACAAAGCCATGTTAGGGAAACTTCCATCTTATATCTGCTCCCTGATCTCACGGAAAATTGTAAGTGGCTACTGCCTGAGATCAAATGCTGTGGTTTTATTAAATGTGCCAACTGCTAGGACTGTCTTAGGGAAGACAGCTTTTAGATGCGCAGCTCCACTGTCTTGGAATAGTCTGCAAAAGGAATGGAAGCTGAGCAATCTGGTGCCACTAAATGTTTTTAAAGCTCGGTTGGATGCTACTCAATCGGAAGCTATTGGTACCTGTTTCTGTGGATAATTATGTAAATGATGCTGTACTGATGTCCTTGTTGTTCTGTCTATGTTTCTATGTTTCATGTGGAACTACTTGAGCAGGTCTCCCTTGAAAAAGAGATCAATGATCTCAATGGGATTCATCTGATTAAATAAAGGCTTGAAATGAAATGAAAAACTTTATTGATGACTCAGTTTGTGTGTTAAGCCCTTTTTAAAATCATGCAACTATTAGTTAGTTTCAAACCAGTGACCAGAGGTGGGAAGTAACCAAGTAGATTTACTCAAGTACTGCACTTAAGTACAATGTTGAGATACTTGTACTTGACCTGAGGATTCCCATGTTATGCTACTTTGTACTTTTACTCCACTACATTTATTTGGTACCTTTGGTTACTTAACAGATTTGGATGAAGGATGTGAAATATAATCAACTCTTAAATCCGACTTTAGTTCCACCTGGAGTAAATTCACAAGCTACCCTGCAGTATACAAAGTCATTAAACTAGCTGCACCTTTACCAGCTTAGATAACACTTTATTGCATCAATAGTTGTAATCAAAACATACCATATATATTATTCTGAAATGTTTGTATAATAGGTACTTTCACTGTTGGTACTTTAAGTATATTTTGAAGCTAATACTTTTGTACTTTTACTTGAGTCACATTTTGAATGCAGGACCTTCACTTGTAACAGAGTATTCCTACACTCTGAGCACTTAAGTACAAGATCTGAGTACTTCTCCAACCTGTGCCAGTGGCATATTTGATTGGGTTGCAGTATAAAAGTGGGGACTTTAGTAATGTGTAAATTCATTGCTAGGATACGTCTATAGCAGCTTCAATTGACAGCAGTAAACAGTGTAGATAGGAAGTGACTGTAGCATAACAAGCTGTAGCATCACTTCAAAATGTTACAGCATTAGGAGGCTAAATGATATATGTTCAACTTAACTGCTAACCTTTTGTGATTGTATGGATGACATTACATGCTTTGAGAAATATGAATCAGAGCTGGTAGTAGTGCTATTCATACAGCCATGTATTAGTGATTTGTGATTACTGTATGTGTCTGAAATGCAATTAAAACCATTTTAAATTCTTACTAAGCAGCTCAGATGCAACAACGTATTAATATTGTTTCAAAGGTCAATTAAAAACTCAAACCAAATTCTGAATTGTTTCACCAAAGGTATTTTTTAAAGGAAGTAAATATAATAGACCAATGATATTTCCTCTACTATGCTAAATAACCCTCCTAATGCTCATATATGATAATTGACCGTGAGTGAAAAGCAGCTCTCAGAGAAGCCATCAGTATGAACCTTCATTCCAGGATCGGTCCTGAATACTCAATTGCTTCAGCATAATGTGGAATGATTGTGTTATGTGCACAGCCTCAACAACATTTTCTTCTCCAAAGATCTATCATGTTATCTTGCTGTGGTGTTTAAACAACTCATGATTATGTTTTCCAGTTCACGTGTCAAAGTATTTACTGATGCTGCACTCTCATGTTGATCTTTTTAATTCTTTAACAAAGATTTGAAATGTATGTCTGACTTAATATATATGTATATATCAGGATTTTTACTGCTTTAGTTATGTTTTTCTTTATGCACAAAATGCTTCTGGCCTCTAATGCATTTCTTTCCAATCAAAGAATGTGGTTCTTTCGAGATTGGCTATAAGCAAATTATTCTGTGCAATACCCCTTTCAGTCCCCTGTGAGAAAAAACATACATTGTGTGTGCGTGCGAGTCAAAAGCATCTCCTCCTTTTGACTCGCACGCACACACAGAAAAAGGAGTGGGAGGATGTGGTGGCACAATCTTTCCCTTCTTTTGCTTACATGAGGTCACTCGACCATCGGGCTTGACGGTTATTGATGTGTGCATATGTTAAAATAATGATATCATCCGAGAAAAACAACAAATGAGACCCAATTTTTGATACATTATTTTAATATTTGCCCTATTTTGTTTTATAAAAACAGAGCAATACTTACTAAGTTCTCACATAAGCACACAGTAATTGTTATTTACAAAACTGAATAGTGAAACAATGGTAATGTTCTGGATGTTGATATTTCACAACTTCCACAATTTCCACGGGTAAACTCAATGAAAATGTCAGGTGTCATTGTTCGGCTCTCATCCCCTGCTGCTCGGCTGCGGCCTGGGCTGCTAACTTCTCCCGTTTCTCCTGCTCAGCCTTCTCCCTCAGCTCCTTCTCTCTCTGGATCAGCTGCTTCCTCTCTGCCTCCCAGGCCGGCACGTTGCTCTTGTACAGCTCCAGGTCGGGTTTCTCAGCAGCAGCCATGTTCTGCTGGGCCAGAGCGGTCCCTGCAGCGAGGAACGAGGCAGAGTCCACTTTGCCCTCAGACTCCAGCCGGCTACACAGCTCCTGAAGAGGCAGGGAAAACAAAAAATATGTTAAAGATACAACAGTGACCTCAAAACTCAAAACCAGGTTATTTGATACGTACCAAAAAGAGACAGATTAGCTGGAGTCATAGTATGAACAAAACATCAAGGTCTGGATGTTCTGATAAGGAATTTTGAGTCAACATATAATTATTGGCTGGCTCTGTTAAGTTAAAGGCCCAATCAAGCCAATGATTAAACGCAGACCTGGAATGCAGTGAACCAAACCACTTAGTTCAGCACATGATGAAGACCTGGGTTTCTGTAAAGGTTTTTTTTTTGGAGTATGTTTAACACAAGTGTAGTTATGGCGTACCAGTAACGGACCACACTTATTGGCTGGTATCAGATTTGTTTTGTTCAGCCAATGTGTTCACACTGTGCCACTGGACAACAGGTGGTGGTGACAGATCCTTAAACACATCAATGTGCCAACAACGGCAGGAAAGGAGACATGTGCAAGCTTCTTAACATTGACAACAACCTTTAGGAGGAGGAAAATGTATTCAACACATTTGGGCAGGACATGCCCAATAAATGCACTGAAGGACAAATTAGATATATGTTTTGCAGTAAAACTAAATAGTAGTTTAATAATAGAGCTTGTAGTGTGGTAATAACACAAGGGCATCTTCTGAAATAAAAGATTTGACCAGAAACAAACCAACAAATCCATCTCAGTCCTCAAATAGACATACAAAGCTGGATTCAGCAAAAATGTTGAGTGAATTTATATTGGGCTCTTTATATTTGTATATCTAATATTTGGCTCTTACATTAAAAAGGTAGGAACAGTAAGTAGTGAATCTGTAATGGGCTGGTGTTCTTGGTGAATTTGATCAAAAAAGCCTCTGTTTCTATGTCTGTGTTTACGGACTCGCCCCGACAACGGTAGCTGAGGTTAATTCAGTTGCTCCAAACAAAAGTACACCCGCTGTACACAACTAACACCCACCTTGAATCTGCTGACATATTGAGGGAGCTTAGCCTGCTCCGCCTCATCTTCTTCATCGACGGGGTTTTCTTTCTTTACCTCCTCTCCTGCTGACTCCTCTCCAGAGGACTTGCTGTCTGAGGAAGAAGACAGTTCCTGCAGCAGGTCGTTCATGTAGTCCAGCTGAAAATAAGTTAAACAACTAACATTGAGTATGCAGAACAAATATAGTTTTAAATGATTACGTGTACAAAATCAATAAAGAGTAGAACTGCTGAAAGAGGTGTTACTGCCTGTACGTTATCTGATTTATATTTAAACATTTGGAATGAAAGGAACATATTTTCCAAGATTTCATTTCAAGGACAGACACGCTAAGACCTCACCTCTTAATTTTAGGTAGAAGTAAGATTAACTGTCACCTGTCACCAGCATTTTCAATTGAGATGTAATATTTCCTCTGTCCTGCAGCGTTATCCGCTCTGTCTACATTATTGCTGTGCTGCCGTCTGACACAAGCGGTTTAGTTCCTGTCGCAGTGATTCTCACAGACATCCTCTGTGCTGCAGGCCAGCCACAATCTCATTACACATGGACAAAGCTGGAGTATTGAACTGGACAGCACAGGCCGGATTAGAGGCGCTACACCCCAGTGTGTGTTGTTGCAAATATGTAACAACAACAACAACAACATGACCGCATGTGTGTTTTATCTCAGCGGATAGACTGTCTGTGTCACACACCCCACCTGGAGAGTAACAACAGCCTCTACTGAGCGCGTTTGGGCTGATGTGTTCTGTGACAACACAGAATCATATTTTAAAAACAAGTTTTTTCTCCAGAACAGTCTTAAAGTTGAATTTGACGTCAAACCCACAGTCAGTGGAGAAGATGGACACCACAGACTTGAATAAGGAGCAAACTGTTCGGTTAGAAAAGAGAAAAACCTGCCTCTTCCAAGGCTTTTGTTTCTTGTTTTCATTTGTTATGAGATAGGATATCATTGAGGATGCACCTAACCAACGTATTCTTCTAAAAACATTTACACATTTCCTCGATCCTTACTGAGTCTTTGGACAGCTTGACGTCCCCAGAAGCAGCAGCCACTCCCTCCATGACAGCCAGCGCCCGGCTCAGATACCCTCGCTCCCAGGAGAGAGGCATCCCTTTGAACAAGGCATGAATGCCCTTTGACATCTCCACCTTACCTGGATTGGAAAGAAGGAGAAGAACAAATGAGACAAACTGCATAAAGAAAGAACACTGAGTGAATCACATGAAGTGGGTGAAGAAACCCAAATACACACCCAGCAGAGCGTTGCCCAGCAGCTGAGCGCTGAGGCCAACAGAGTTGTCCTGCTTCATCCCACAGAGGAGCAGCGACGCTCCCAACATCCTCTCCTCTGACACCTGCACACAGCGAGGAGCAAGGGTAAGCGATTGTAATGGGGAGCAGATTTGTGATGCTTTAACATTTATGCTAATAAAATAGCTTTTTTCCATTATAATGCATTGCAATTCAAATCATTGCCTTTAGTGTGGCGCCAAAATGAATGTAGAGTACTGTATTTACAAACATAACATTATTTTGAGATCATGTTTTTGCATGTTGCCGTCGTTTCACTCACAGCGAGTTGTGGTCTGGTTGCTAGGTAACTGGCCAGGGCATACAGAGACAGGATCCGAGTGGAGGAAAGGTCGAAGGCCTCCTGTAGCATCACCTCTTCAACCACAGAGCACGCACCTGTAATTACCACAAATACATAGTCATTGCTACACCCTCTTATTAAATCTTGTTATGAGGAAAATAAAAATAAAAACAATTGTCGATATTACAAGGATTTCCTCCTTCTAATGATATAAGTCAGCAGGGCAAAAGATCAAAAGCATGTTTTCTTAACTCTTAGCTATTTCTGTTCACCCTGTTTTTCAAGTTAAAAGGATAAGTCTGGTGGAAACATATTTTCTTATTGTCAAACAATGTTTTGAAAAGATTTTTTTTTAATGAATGCACATTTATTTAAATCACAAAAGTGATGTGAATATTCATCTAATTGAACTTCTGGTTGGGCAACATTAAGGGAACATGTGATCGTAGCATGGCATTTATGATGGTTTGTAAATGATTCATTTTAAGAACTTTATAGTCTCCTTATGGGTCCACACAGATCTGCCATTAGTATTGAAGTTTCATTTCAGGTTTTTCTATGCACAGAAATGAAAATGAGGTTCCAAATAGGGGGATGGGAACCAACTCACTATCTCTTAATAGTTTTGGGACGAAAATTAAGTTGAGAGGAATAAGATCTATCAGATTTGAGTTTCTCAGGCAGAATGGGTCAACAGGGTCAATATATTGAAGGTTTTAGTCTATTTATGGGATTTCCTGACAACACAAAATATAATATTGCTAGATTAATAATCTAATGTAAAACAACCTTAGATTTGATTGGCAATACTGAAATTATAATACAGTATAAAACTAACATAACATTAACAACTGAATGAGTTCAGAATTGTATCAAATGTAATCCTAAATTGATGCGCTTTCACTTTCAAAAGTATTTTCTTTTTTTAATTATATTTTGTAATATATATCATAACTTAGTACTTTTTTTTAACATATGTAACATTAAGCTGTCTGTGGCTCTTTCCTGCTGTAACGATGCAAATCTCCCCTCTGTGGGACTGATAAAGGTTGATTCTGATTTGTGCCAAATATGAAATGTTGTTTATCGTCTACTGTTATTATAGAACAAATAACCAGGCTTCCCCTTCACCTCTGTGTTTTACAAACAAGGAAAGAAATGTTTGAAATCTGATGTTAGTGGTTTCGATAGACAGTCTGTTTCCACTCCTGGAAATATCCAAAGACAACAGGAATGTGTCTGCAGAGATTGTATTTTATTATTGTCTGCCTGGCCCGGTTTTTCCGGAGGATTTTTCAGAAACATGTTTTTAAAAAAAGCCTTACTTTTAAAGTCTCCGTCCTTAATGTAAGAATCTATGAGCAGGTTAAACGTGAAGTCATCTGGGAATATTCCATACTGGACCTGCACACACAAGATGTTTTGCATTATTATGAGCATTGACGGTCTACCTCATGAAAAAAAAAGACCGTAATACAACAACAACACAACTGCTGATTCCTAATGCATGAAAGTCTCACAGTAACACGACCCCGATCACAACATCAGAGGCTCCACTGTCCGAGCACACTCTGTTCTACCTTGCTCCAAAACACTACTTTGGAAAATTCAGTGATTCCCTGAGTCTACAACTCACTAATGAACAGTACACATGCTGGGCTGAAATGTCAAACGTGAGATGTTATGTTCTACTCAGATCAGTTTGAAAGTGCATCTGGGTGGTCAAGTTAAGATCTGTGATTGCTCTGACTGTCTGATAACTGCAGCTGTCAGACCCCAGCAGGAGCCTGATCAGATGTCCTTTATTACTAAAAAGATGGATCCCTTTTGCATTGAACAAAGAGAATTGATTTAATTGAGGGATGATAACGTGTTGTTTACCTTGTTTTTAAGTGTGTGCAGGGCCTTCTCTTTGACTCCGTATTTTAGACACTGCCTTATCCAACTGTGAATGGTCCAGTCTCTCAGGTACCAACAGTTTGGACTGTGACGAAACCTGGGGAAAAAATGACAACACATAACATTTTTATTAAATATATATCCATTAAACTTTGGCTCTAATAACAGTATATGTTTTGTGGGAAGATGTGAAGAAGAGTAGAGATGAAATGTGATCATATTTGAATTTCACAAGACAATATTTTGGTTGCTTGGTTTGCAGAGAGCAAAAAAACAAGAGTCCGAAACACATGTGGGACAGTAGAATCCATTAATAAAATGCAAAGGTGGTTATTTGATTTTTAACTGATTATTAAAATGAATATGCTGTGAACAAGGGTGTGATTGGGGAATTTACTAAATCCTATTATCACAGGACTGGGTGCAGATTCCAGAGGAAGGAGTTAACAGGAAAAGTCTGGCGTTACCCCGAACAAAGAAAAGCATGTGACAGAACATAAACTGAAAACAGAAAACTCATTCCAAGAAAAACACACAAAACCAACTAAGCAGCAGGAATCTGACACAGAAACTGATGCAGAAAGATTAAACGTGATCCTTCTTACTTGTAAAGGTAGTACTCTGCTTGGTTCACTTCCTCTTGAGATGAAATAGTGTCAACAAACTGAAACAGAAAATTCAAATGTGTGTTAAAAGATGTTGTACCAACTGTTATCAGATTCACAAATATTTGTTTATTTATACTGATCAGTGGCAGGACAAACGATTAAATAGAGAGGATCTAAATCTAGAGCTTACCCGAGACACAGTCAGAGAGCTAACTGGAAGATTTCTGTCGTATGTCCTGTCCATATTGTTGGCAAGTAGAGCTGTAAGTTATAAAAAACAGAAGCACAGGACTTTAAAACAGTTAATGTACAGTAGCACATTTGAGCCAGTTAATACTGCCCATTTAAACAATAAAAAAAACAAAAACATGTATTGATTTTAATTTAATAAAGCCATAGCTGACAATCTAATTTTGTTTTAACTATTGAACAATTACCATGCAACATGAGGCTGTAGCATTACACTGCCCTCGTGTGGTGACAGTGCACACACAACAAGATGTTGATGTCCTACATGCAGCAATAAAATAATGTCCTCGTTCTTTTGACATGAAATCTATTGATGATGATAGGGCTAAGTGTTAATACAGATGTTATTATAATAGTTAAGTTTCACAAACACCAAAGAAAGAATGAGTTTAGCTGTCTTTCTGCTTGAGGAAAGAAGCTGATTTGTAGCCTGAAGGTACGAAAGCAGATCCTTCTGTATCTCTGTCGAGACCATAGCACAGTGGACAGGATGTGGCCTGGGGTGGGTATTGTCCTTTAATGATGATAGTTTTAGAATGTATTTATTTTGGTTGATAACTACTTTTGAAAGGTGCAATAATCAAGGTATTATTATTATTATTATTATTATTATGCTTCACAGAAAAAACTATTATATCCAATCAGGGCCCTGATTGCAAAATGTCTCAGAAAGAGACTAAAACATGCCATGTGTGATGTGATCCTTGTTCTAGTTAAAAGTGGGAACAAAAGTGTTTGAATCTCCAAACGCTACAACAGATGTTATTCCTGCTATATTGTGCTGACTGTTGAGCCACGTTCAGGGTTAAACTGTTGAATATTGATAATCTGCATCTGTATATGCAGATTATATCTGTGTGACAATATTATGTCTTCCCTACAAAATTCCCACTAATCCTGACCCACGTTAGCAGACTTGAGTTATTATTGGCTGGACTGTTCATTGAATAGTATGTGAATATATTATTATCAGTTGTATCTCTTACCCAGGTTGAGAGGCTCTTTCTCCCTGGCCTCCCACACTTTGGTGTCTGTGTAAGCTGCTGAGAGCAACCATCTCCTGGCTGCGAAGACACACGGTCAGTCAGGTCATATAGATACAAACACTACACGTTTATAAGCTCGTTAACAATTACAAAACATTAACACACGTGTGCTGTTTAGCAGGTTCATGTAACGTTAGCTACAGTTAGCTTTCAACATCAACTGGGGACATTTAGCTCCTAAACATCAAAATAATGAAAAGTAAACAACAAAGGTGTAACATATAAACAAACCAATGCGATAATGTAAACTGTGATATTATACATGGCTTTATATTAGATCAGTTTACCTGAAAAAGACGGGGATAAACATTTAACTTTGAAAGCCGCAGTCACACATCGCTTCCACACGGAGGCTGCCATCTTTGGACGAAACCACCACTTAACCCGGGATGGGGGACGACGGGACGACACAAGAGGGTTGTACCAAAAGTGCTAACAAAAGGGTAATAGCCTATTGTTTTTATATATTTTTCTCGATCAATACATATTGTAATTATAACAACGGTATTTAGATAATGGAGTACAATAACAACGTTAATTTGTATTCGTTTTTAGAAAAAAGGTCATCCTCAGTAGATCACCCATAAAGTCGTTGGCTTCGGAGAATAGAGACTCAGTTGCAGGGATGTGCTCTCAAATTAAAATATTGGGGGAATCTCTTGAATTTAAAAATGTATTAATTTGAAAAAAATGCAGAACACTTAAAAAGTACCCATGTTGTGACAAAAGAGGGCGCTGTTTACATAAAGAGGAGAACGAGGAGTTAGATCCACTGAAGTAGAGAGGGAGCAGTTTCACTCTGCCCAGTGGACCTGCAAATAAAGCCATACAAAGTAAAAGTGTTTGTTACTTATACATTTTGGATGCTTCCTTATGTTTGTTAGGACATCAGATTATTTATTTAAAAGGAAAAACAACCATACAATCATACAACCCCTGGAATAGTGACACACTGTCAAAATGATGCAACGGTTTAACTTTTGGATAATTGACCTTAACTGTGTATTTATTAGTACATGTACAGCACAACACATTTGTCCTCTCGCCTCTATTTCACTGTTATTGTTTTGAAGAAGGACAGCCCTCGTCTATTATTACGGTAAGCTTTCTCGGCTGTGGGTCAAAGGAGGTGACAGGTTGATACTGGGGTGGGACAGTTTTGTTAAACAAAAACGTGGAAGAATTTTAGCACCATCTCGTTCTCTCATTCACCATCAAAACAGGAAGCTCTTCCCTGAGCTGCACTATAGAGAACTCACAGGAAACATTTCCAGACACACAGGTGGGGATACAAATATCTTTTGAGGAATAAACTGACTATTTTTACGAGTGTTTTTTCACTGCTGTGTCCTTTTTGTTTGCAATCGTTTTAGCCGATACAAAGGGTGTAGTCAATTTCCATCAAAAGAGTCATCATAAACCTTATACTATTCACTTCATTTAGAGTGACGTTTGTTTATAGATATGATTCAGGGATATAAAGAATTCAGAAGTTTTTGTTTTCAGTATATATCAGTTACAAACAGTATCTCATATCCTTTTAATTTCACAGTCATAGCATCGCAACATTACAAAATAGCACATTTATGTCTAAAAGGGAATTAATTTGATGTTTATCTTTGAATTAGTTAGAAAATAAGTCGTGCAATAATGTGAAAGATGCTTAGTTCTGCCATACAAACAGTCAACATAAAGTAACTCCATATACAGTGTATTAATCACGGAAAACAGCAAATACTCTAAATTGACGAGCTGGTTACAGCACATATTTGGTCATTTAGTTTGATAAAGGACTGAACAGATCACTTGAAGAATGTTTTAAAACATACAGAAAACAAGCAAGAATGTTTTTGGAAGCACGGGAAAATAACTTGATACATTTACTTGAGTACATGCTTGTACTCTACTTAAGTATTTATTGTATTTTTTGCCAGCCCATATTACTTGATACATTTACACATCATTCAATATTCCACCAAAAAGGCAACGGTAAGGGTCCTTTTTTCATTAGTCCTCTCATGACCTCTCAGGTTTATCCTGTGTCCCGGTCCCTGGACTGAGTTTCACTGGGGTTAAAATACCAAAGTATTTAAAAAACTTCAAGACTAACTCAACCTCAGCCAACTGCTTAGCAATTGATGCATTTTGAATAGCAATGTAATAATCAAATGTATTAATATTTACATTTAATGAATTCATATGTTTACTGATAAGACTTTTATACATAATGTACTTCTACTCAACTAAACTCTGAAATGTGCGGCCTGAACATCCGAGTTATCTGCTGTAGGAAAGTACTAGATAACATTATATTCATATACGTTGAGGGTATTTTGCTTTTAGTGTGTTTCCAAAGCAGAACAATGAACCGTCTCATACCACACTACTCATTTTCCCATCACATCACTATCGACCTGTTCTGGGTAATCTTTTCATTCTCATGATCGCTCAAGTTTCAGTTCATTAAACTCACATGAAGGATAGAGTTACCATATGAAACATCATCTTTCATGAAGTCTCTGAAGTGTGGTCAGCCATAAATGTTGTTCCTCAGAGATTACTCAGTATGATGCTGCTGAAAGAAGCTGTATCTAAGAGACAAACAGTAAATCCTCTCTCCGTTGTAGGGATTGAAACGTGTAGGTGAGGAAAGGAAAGGAGAGGAGGATGTGAGAACTTCCTCAAACTGTTTGCAGTTTCACCCGTTTGGACATGGTGGTCGTCACTGGTAGAAATAGAGAAGCTGCTGTTCTGCATTTCATCTGACAAGAAATGACTTGGTGTTTACCTGAACTGGCACCTCAGAGTGAGGTACAATGTGTGACTACATCTAAGTCGGCTTAATGTTACATTGAAACCCAGTAAATTATATTTTAAATAACCCTTTACTAAACAACTTTATAATATATGAGATAAATGTAAGATATCCCACAGAATGCACTGAATGTTAATGTCCTACTAAAACCTTTTTTTTCCAAGAGTATTTCTTATTTTTTGTGAGGCTCCTGCAATGAGTGGAAACAATGCTTTATTCTCAGTCATACAGACATATGAAGCCTTTGTCTGGGACACCCGCTGTGTCCGTCTCTGCTGTTTGATCAAAACCTAAAAGAGAGAAGGGGAGAGGTGTTTTCTCTTCCCCTTCCTTTGCTTTGAAAGAGAAGCAGGAGGAGAAAGGCAAGCTTTTTGAAACACACAGCAATCATCTCTGGCTTGCTGAAGTACGTGCCAGATGGAGAGAATTGGGATTTGGGTGCTTATATTCTTTAAAACCCTTATAGAGGTGTTTATAAAGTGTCTGCAAACACAAACATCAGGATAATTTCAAAGGTTTGTGTATTCAAGCTTTTATTTTTACATTTATTTCAAAGAGTCACATTCAGGTGAACAGAAATACACTGCCATAAAAACAAAGCTACACCCACAAGACAGAACTAAGAGAGACAACCCGATATCAAATAATCTAAACATTAGACATTAAACAGCAAAATAAATCACAGTTTATTTCATAAAGATACTCAAATATCCAAGAAACTCAAACTTAGTCGTATCTAAATCCATAAAAACATATATCTTACAAACAAAGAGACAAAAATAATGAAATCATTTCAAAATATGGTTTCAGCAATGACACATTTTTTTTATTTAAGATAATCGATTGACACACTTAAAAGAGAATCAAAGTTAAAAAAAAAATGCAAAATTGCATACTTGAGTCAATATCTTAATGATAAAGACAAAAACAAAAAACCGCCATTCCCATAACATAATATTCAATCATAAATGCACATCAACCTTCTGTCTGTCTATGCGGCATGTTCTGTACATGTTATGCTTCACAGCTTCAGTTTCTTCATTGTTATGTTTTGTTCAGTTAATTCACATGATATGTTCTTCTTTCCTTTTTTGGTGCTAAGCTAGACATCTTTATAATCAATTTCATTCACAGATTTTCTGTACACACTTTTCTTCTAACTTCTGATCAAAATAACATCAACCTTCCCTAAAAAGCATCACCATTCTTCAGCTCATATTCCTCATACATTGTTTTCTTCTTCCTCTCGTGGACCCGAAACTTCCATGAACATTCTTTTGCGCAAGCGATGCACTATTTCACCTGCCTGCGACTTGCTCTCTGCTGCTGAGATGGCATTCTGCTGTTTACCTTGCTCTGCCTCATCTAGCTCTGCAGAGCTATCTAGATCGTTCTCTATTTCTGAGTCAGAGTCATAGTCATACAACTGTGTGCAGCCTGTCTCGTTGTGGTACTCCTGGTCACTTACATCAGACTCATAGGCCATCTCAGACGTCTCCTCTGACTGTAAAAGCTGCACCTGCTCCCCTTCTTCTGTTGCTGAATCCTTCTCATATGTCTGTCCATCTGAACTCTGCTGATACGTTTCTTCATGCTTCTCCCCTGGCCTCAGTTGAGCTGGAGATCCCTGCCCTCTCTCCTCCAGCTCAGGGATGTACCGCTCGCTGCCTGCCTGCTCATGTCTGTCCACATCAGGACTGTACTGGCTCCTTCTGTACAAACTCTCCTCATCTTCCTCCTGACACGAGCTCCCAGGCACGCTCTCGCCATCAGATTGGGAGAGGTGGAGGCTGGGGAGGCCTGGGGGTTTCTGGGAAAGATCAAACGGCTCCTCTTGGCTGAAGCGAGTGAGGAGGCCCATGGGAGTGGACACGCAGAATCGCCCTCTTTGCCGAAACACTGAAGTCAGAGAATGTAAGTCATTACATCAAACAACTTTGGCAACAAAACATGTATGTAACATCTACAGTATGTGCATGCTTACATCTTTCGTCTAGCCCTCTGTCCATGACGCCGTGTTTGACCTTCATGTGTCTAGTGAGGTTTCCCTTAAGCGTGAACTTGCTCGGGCAGTAAAGGCATTTGAAGGGTTTGCTGTCTGAGTGGAGATGCATGTGGCCCATTAGGTTGTGCATCCTGTTGAACTCCTTTCCACAAAGCTGAAAGACAAAGAGAGAGAAGCACAGAGCCAGGTACTGTAAGTTGCCACGAGTAAGAAATCTATACATTTCACACGGCTGACTCACTTACAGTTCTAAAAAAAAGAAGCTTCACCTAATCCATATGTATGAATAGAGTCTTTTCATCTAAACCCCGTCCAGAAACATAATTGACACAATTTCTAGAATGTCAAACTTTTTCTTCCTTTCAACTACTTTAAATAATGTTAGCAGTTTAGTCAAGAAGAAATCATCAAACTGTATTGAGGTTGATTATATGTTTTTATTTCTCTACCAGTAACTATTTAACTCTGGCTGGCAGATAAATGAAGTTGAGTGGGTAAACACTACAATTTTCCCTCGTAAATATTGTAGAACTAAAGATGAGGTTACAAA